GGGGGGGGGCCTCAGCCCCCCCCCGGGCAAAGGGCTCTGGGGGGAGGCAAGGGTGCTGCCGGAGCAGGTCCCTGCCTAGCTTTGTGTCCCCCACAGCAGATGTTTTCCCTCCAGCCTGCGGGGGTTAGGAGGGAAAATCCCCACCCTGCTTCAAGGGGTTGGGAGCAGCGCGATGGCGGCGTGCCTGTGATGGCAGTGTCCCCACTCCCGCATGGTGGTGGCTTTCCCCAGGACTTGGGGGGTGGGGGGGTGTCTGTGCTGGCACAGACACAGAGCTGGGACCCGCAGAGGCGGGATAGGGGCTTGCAAGGCCGCGGGCCCTTCCTTCCCCCCGCTCCTTTTGGCAAGAGGAAGAATCCTCCACTGTAATTTTAAATGCTATAATTTTTTAATAACCTCCTCACAAAACAATGAGCTCATTGTGCGGCGAGGGTCCCCCACCCTCCCGCCTGGCGCTCCACGCGCGCCGCTCACCAGCTCCAGGGCTTTTATGGACAAGGACAGCGGCATCGTTTGGGGCAGGCAATTAAGGGGCCCCCACCCCCAAAAACCACACAGGCTGCCCAAGGGGGCAGCAGGGAGGGACCCTCACACATGAGCCGAGTTTAGCTGTGCTCAGCAGGCCGTGGCGCACAGCCCAGGACTGGGGGGAGCCAGCTGCACCGTGGAGCTGGTTTGGGATCAGCAGCCCCCCAGTCCCAGCCACTCCAGTGGGAGCCCAAGTCGGACACGCATGCCGGCATGCTCTGCCATGGCCACCCCAAGGATGGGAACCCTGGCCAAGGTGCTAGAGAAATCTGGGAGCCGCCATCGGAGGAGCATGCTCTCTGGAAGGCAAACCCATTCCCTCTGCCCTGAGAGCAGGAATTTTTCAAAGCCTGCAATTATCGTGCTGAGCTGGAGGAAGCCAGCGGATCCCACGCTGGCGGGACGGCAGCCCAGCCCAGACCCCTCGCGGGCACCGCGGCGTGTGCCGAGCCGCCCGGCCGCCTTTGGGGTGCCCCGGGGACATTTCTTATGCAACTCTGCCACTGCAAATCACCCGACTCAGCAGGAAACCAGTGGGTTTGGACTCCCTCCTGTCCACGATTTCTGCCTAATGGCCGTTTTCCTCTCCCCTCTCTTTTCTTTCAAGTGCAAAGTTTCCCCAGACTGGACTCCAGCATCCTAAGGATACTGAGACAGCTGGAAACTCTCCCCAAAGCAAGGAGGGGAAAACCCATAACTCTCCTCCAACAGCAGCTTGTTCAGCCTGGATTGTGCAAGCCGGGGAGCAGATTTAGAAGGGAATAGGGATCTGCCCTCCCCATGCAGAGAGAAGCAGGAAGGAGAAGGGGGTGCCTGTTGCAGGGTCTCTGAGGGGACAGAGGGCAGGAAACAGGGACTATTGTGGGCAGAACAAAGAGCAGACAAGGAAGGACACAATAGCTATTCCCCCTATCTGCCAGGGTCCAGCCTGGAGTTACCTGCTGGATTTAACCCCTTCCTGCCAGTGCCTGCATCCCTCCTCCCCAGAGAGCTGCCTGGCTAATGAACAGCCAAGATGGAGGTTGGGGTTTGATATGAGAGGGGGGTCAGGGGAAAGAGAGACATGGCATCGGGCATGGGGGATCCTCAGCCCTTGGGCAGGAACTTCCCTGCATCGGCGAGGCGGCACACAAGCCTGAGCGCCGTTAGCAAAACAAGAGCGAGAGAGGGACAGGATGAGCAGAGACGGGCCTGACTCAGACCAAGACAGACGTTTGAGCAGAGGCAGCACCCCGCTGTCACCACACCACCCTCCCGGGGCAGAAACCACACAGCCCCACCAGACAGGGAAGCAATGGAGAGGAGCTCCATGGCATCAATCCTGCACTCTGCAGGCAAAAAAACCCAACTTGATGCCAAGTTTGGGGGAGCCCAGGGTGCCCCAAAGCTTCCCAGAGACGGCGGCCAGGTCAGCGTGGGAAGACTGGAGCCAATCACCACCGGCAGCACGGGTTCGTCCCCTCTGCCTCCATGTGTGCCCCCCCAGCCCTCACTTCGCTCCACAGGAGTTTGCACCACCTCCAGCTCTCTCGGCAGCTCCTTGTCCTCAAGTGCTGTACAAGAGCCGTCACTCAGCGGCTTGGCTTGTCAGGCGGGCACCTCGCCGGGCTGCGGCCCCCCTGGCTTCATGGCCCTCATCTCTAGGCAACCTGACCTGGACACTGCCGGCTCCGGCTCCCCCGTTCCCATGGAAAGTGCCACACAAGAGGCTGCGAAGCCTTTTCTCTGCGCCAGGAGAAAAGGGGCTTTGTTAGCTTGCCCAGGGGGACAGCGTGAGAGCCGAGCCTCGGGTCTCTGGGAATCCAAACGGACAAACGAAGCACAACAAAAAAAACCTAGAAGAAAGCCGGAGCTCCTAAGAGGGAGAGAAAAAAAAGAGCAGCCATTCCCAGGATCATCTGTAGGTGCTCAAAGAGCGTTTCCCCCCACCACCACTTGCCACCCCCTCGCAGTGACAGCAGAGCATAAAAGAGGTTTCCATTAAATAACTGTACCAGGGAGAGATGGCAGAGCCACTGCCAAACCCAGGAAACCTGAGAAAAAAAAAAAAGGCAAGATTCACAGAGGGGGGAAAAAAAAGTAAGATAATACTTGGGGTAAGTTTCAGGAGCCAAGACCCCACAGGGTCCAGCAGACCCGGGTGAAGGAGGCAGGGCAGGTCAATCCCCCCTGCCTCCCCCATCAGCCACTCCCAATTTCCAAAAAAAAAAAAAAGCCAGAACAAAAAACAAACAAAAAACCAAACCAGTTTGCAAGCAAGAAACAGGATTCCAGGCCAGGAAGAAACACATGAAGACAGTAGGATGGAAAGGTTAGGACCAGGCATAACTTACTTGGGAAGCTGTCTAAGGATAGAAAAAAAAAAAAGTGTCTTAAGAGCAGATGGCAAGGCACATTTCCCAAGGAAACAGCTTCCCCCCCCCCCTTTTCAATTTTGCTTCAGTACTTGAAGGACAGAGTAAGGGACTGCCAGGGTTCTGGGCAGGACATCAGTAAGGTCAGGGATCGGACTAGCTGCAACTGCCCCGGTGCAGGCGAGCCAGAGCAGACCTGCAAGAGCCCCCAGCCACTCCAGTCCTGCCTAGTTCCTGGCAAGGAGACCGAGAGCCTCGGCACGTCCTAGTGCTCTCCCAGCCCTGGGCTGCTAAACTGGGTGTCCCTTGGGCAACTCAACTGCAGGCACCTCATGGGACCCTGCCAAACCTCACCCGCAGCCGGGCCCTGCAGCCCAGGAGAGCACCCGCAGGGACCTGATCCCACATCAGGCACCAGGGGATTAGGCTGCATCCCTACACCGTGCCTCAGTTTCCCCAGTGGAAAGCAAGTCGGGGCAAGCTCTGCGATGGGAGCCGCTCAGCAGGAAGGACCCCAGAGCAGCATTTTGGGGGGCTGCTGAGTGCAAGGAACCCAGGTCAAGCTCCCTCCATCACTCACCCATCCCAAACTCACCCTGCAACACTGCATTTCACCCTCCCAAAACCACTGCTAGCTCCAGACAGCCTGGAAATAACCCCCTATTCAGCGATATGGGGGAGCAGAAAGGAGAGGTGGCACTTGCCAGGCCACAGCACCCCGCGGACCCCGCACGGTGGAGGGCCAGGATCGCGGCTGACACCCGTGGGCCGCAGCCTAGCCCGTGCCGCTCCGTCCCGGCCGGCGGCGGGGACCGTCCCCGTCCCCATCACCTTACCATGTCGCGGTTGCGAGAGATCCAGGTGTCGAGCAGCAGCTCCAGCCGCGCCTTGTGAAACTTCTTGGTGGTCTTGACGGGGAGTGAGCCGGGGGGGGGGGGAGATCTCCGCGGCCGGGGGCCGGGGGGGGGCTCGGCGGAGCGGCGGGCAGCTCCCCCGGGCTCGGGCTCAGCCGCCCGAAGTAGTCGGCGAAGCTGCGAAGACCGGGGGGACCCTGCGCCGCCGG